GAACAGCCAACCACTCAGCAAAAACCCACAGCTCATGTTCAGCTCCATCCAGTCCTCTGACTCTGAGGAGTATTACTGTAGAGCTGTGAACAAGCTGGGGTCAAAACTTAAATCCATCACTATTGATGTGAAATGTAAGTCAAACGATTTTCACAAAGACTTTCAACATTCGTCACAGGTCACTTAGTTCAGAGCCTGACTTTGAGCCAGTGATTCAATAACTGTTGATAAATAAAGGGTAATCTAGGCTCCCTGAAGTTTATAATCATGTATATTTCTTATTGTGTGGGGGAACATTCATTTACAGGCTTGTTACACTTAAACTTCTTATTTTTTTTAAATTGTTCAGGGACTCTAATTCTGAAAGAATCCTAATATTGAACATTTCAATTGAATACTGATATATAGATATTTGCTTGCAGCAAATAGAGGTTGTGTACAATGTTACGTCACCACTAAGAGGTCTAGGGATGTGAGTGTGGGGACCGGTAACAAGTGGGTCCAGAATGGAATGAAAAGGAAACCAGACAGAGGTGTTCAATATATAATATAGCTTTATTACAAATAATCTTAACCAAAAGAGCCGGCAACACCGTTTTATCAATAATGCAAAGAAACAAAGGAAGCAGTTGCAGCAACAAAGGAAAAAACCACCTAACAAATAAAGGAGACACTTCTGGGGCCCACAAGCCCGTCTACTCACTCAACTTAACTCCTCACCACAGGCATGACAGACACACAAAGGACCCTTTCCAACACCTAGAGAAATGGTGCAAAGCCACAGGGGAAAATCCACCACACATACAGTTCATCTCCAGCTTATATAACCTCAGAGAGGAGATTGCTGACTGGGCCAAGGTGGTAAATGAGGCCAATGAACAAGAGCTGTGTCCTGGGGAGAGAGCAGAGTGAGAGAGAGACACAGGGGTGGAGCAAGAGAGGAGAAGGCAGAGAGAGAACACCACCACACCCACACAAGGACAGTTTCAGGAGGCCCTGCTAGGGCCGTAACATACACCAAGAAAAGCAAGGTAGAAGACAGAAAGTGATACTTGCACTCGATGGTTATTGCTGACTTAAGTTTCTAAACATGAAAGCATTAAATTGCTGGATCCTGCAATATCCAGCAATTAATGCGCGGGCAGAAACACTCTGATTGCTCAACAACATCCATGTGCGTGTGTATTCTGGTCTAAAGAAATATGCCAGAAATATGTCTGGCTCTGTTCTAAACTAGCTGACCTGGCTGAGAGCAGGAAATGCGAAGAGGTTGTATCTGCAGAAGGTTCTGGGTTGAAACTTCCTGGTCAGTCAAAGCCTTTCTGTGAAATCTGCATAGTTTTGTCAGAGTCCAAAAACCTGCTTGTTAGTTGAACTGTTGATAAAGATGCAGATGTTTGAGTCTAAATTTGTGCTGTGATAGGCTCTGCCTGTGTTGCCTGTATCCTGCTTCTTACCCAGTTACATCTGGTCAATAAAACCTCCATTATAAGGCAATCATTATTGTTTTCATAATTGGATATATGTTCCAATAGTTTGTTGTTTATCATTAGTAAGGCAAACTCTGATAGTATATGTTATGGGAATATCTTCATGTGTTCCTGCTAACACCATCCAGAACT